GAATGTGAGTAGAGTTAGTCGTGGAGATAAGAAGGTTATGATTTTGACCAATTTAGTCTTGCGTGCTGTTACGGGAATGAGGGTGGTTGTCACTTCCCGGCTGCCTACACCGTGGAAGGTTGTCTCTTGAGGAACCTGAAAAGGAAGGTAGATTGGTGTCGGCCTTAGAGACCTGAGAGTGCGACTGAAAAGTCCAAGGAACAACTGCTTGAGGCCGGTCACACACGGCCTTTTTATGAGAAGCTTTTAGAGCATTAGCTCAGCTCTTAAAAGCCTTAGTGGGCACCCTTACCCAAGAAGACGGAAATCCGTGAGGTAGGATGAGGTGTGACATTCTTAGGGCCGACCTTTTCTAACCCTTCCCTCCTTGTGAGAAGACAGCTTCGCTTCAGATGCTGGTTGTCCGAGGGAAACACCTTACTGCTCTCACACCCCTCTGCAGTCAGCAGTACGACTTCGCTCTCGGACCTTGAGTAGCTGCTTTTGGTCTGATCGTTCTCCAATCGACCTGCCTGACATGGTAGAACCTTCAGGAACATATGTTCCAGCCAATATTGCTCGGTTGGGTCATCACGATAGGCAAGCCCGACCACCACGTCAACGTTGCAGCTACGGTTGGGACATTCTGATTCTTACTTCAACTTCTCTTCTATCCACCTTCATATAAATAACGATCCACTGTTTTTTACTGCTATACTCCCTAATGTGAAGACTTGATGACTAAACAATGTCTCTTCATTCACTTTTGAACTATCCATAATGTTCAAGTACTCTGCCGTGTAGCTACCTTATTTGCATTGACTTGTTGAAAATGTGACTGCATCAAACTGTTCCTGTCGCAGAAATAGCGTGAACTTGGAACGTCATAAAAAGACTCTTAATAATAATATGTCTAGGCAACCTATTACAGAAAACGTGGTATCGTTTGTAACGATTTGCTCTAGCCCATAATGTGTTACTTAAAAGTAATAATAATCATTATTAACTGAAGCATTCGTTCAACCCATTCTACGGATTAGTACACAAGGTTTCATAAGTCGTGATTCATTATGCTGAACACATACAAAACTCTTTATCGAGAACCCTAGTACTATACAATTCATAAGAACAGAATGGAAGATAACACAAGGATCACCTGGCTGAAGGCCGCATACTTAGAAGAAAATTCTCTGTCTGATTCTACAACACAAACGAACTACATATCCCCACGACTGCAATGTGATCTCTGATGTGGAGCCATCACGAGAAAACTTCGTTGATACACGACGATTGCCTTAAAATGATGGGTTATGGATGAACCGTGCGCTTTACAGAGCATAGAAACGTCTATTTTGTTGCAAATATTTTAAAATCTCATCGCTCATTTCCCATGTTCTACAGCCATCTCTGTTCATTTTTAATTTCTTTTTCCAGACCACGATTAGAAACCTGTGGGCATTAAACAGCCGTTTCATCCCAGCATTGGACTCATCATTAGTGCCGTCCAGTGACTTCAGGTTTCTAATAATGGCCTACCATTAATCTATTCAAGTATCGCAAAATTTTTTGCCACATAACCCACGTGACTGCTCATTTTCTGACACTATTCAGTCAACAATCCAACAGTTTGAAAATATCTCTTCATTACTCAATACACGTTATCAATTTTAAAAACGGGTTTTAAGTAAAGATGCCTAATTCCTCACACATGCTGGCGTCGTGAGTGACGAATGAAAACTGTTTTTGGCTGAAGTCTGTCACAGAAGACTAGTTCCAAGCCCTATTCCTCATTTGCAGATTACAGTCTCAAAATTTATTGACATCAGGACTCAGCTACTGTGTTGACTAGATCAAGAGCTCAAACTAACTCTTGGCGACTCTCCTGAATTAATACCAACGCCTAGTTGACCTAAAGCGTGATAAAACTATGGTTTAATGTGGAAAAGGCAATCGCTCCGAAGTTCATGCAGCCCAACTATCAACCTAAATTGTCCAAACCAAGCTTGTTACAACAAGCCCACGCACTCCGATCCCACTACAGCGAACAAAGATAAGTCTCTTAGCATTCTGTTGACACTGTAGTGCGTGGCATTTAATAAGAACCTATCTGTTCAAACAAAGTCAATGCAGAAAGTGTCACAATGTCACAAAGATAAATCCCATCAATAATGAAATTCAAAACAACTACCATATTCTTCAAGAAGCTTAATTGAGCCTTCTGGCATCTCATGAAAGCTCAAACCCAAGATGAGAGAAAATTTATTACTCTTGATATTCATGAGTATTCATTAAGATTACAGATAGACAGTGCTTTTGATATCCTCATCAACTCTCGGAAATTTTAAATCAAAATCCTTAACCCTCCCATCAGGCAAATAACACAAAAGCTCGCACAGTATATGCCGCGGTCCAACCATGGTGATAACGTCTCAAACCCCGATTATATGCCACCCACGGGTAAGAATAGTCCTACAGTTCTAGTAATTGGATTTCATATGGTTGTCAACACCTGTGTCAGCCTCAGACCAAACTTTTATATAAAAAGGTGTGCTGAAAACCATATGCTTAGTGTCCATGGCAATGTAGTGGTGTATTTTTACGAAGAAAACACAACTGCTGAAATACAAACATTTGTTATTGTACTTAATTCTGACGATAATTGTTAAATTGTACTCCTTTTGTTTATCCGTACTAAGGACTATCTCTCGCGCGCCAAGCATGTTATTCCCACTCCGTTTCTCCGCGCGCCTCCTGCCTGGTCGTTAGCCGCTTGTGTATATTATTTCGATATCACGAGGCTAGCAATTAATATACTTCTTCATCTAGAATCGTCTTTTCTCTGATTTCTAGATTAATGGGATTAACATTTGTTATCCCGCGGAGAAGTTTTTATCTCGATTCGCTATGGTAGATTGGACAATAGAACCTAAATACCACATTAAACTGGCTTTCAGAGAATTCATAAATTTTTAAATAGAAGTTTCTGCCCCAGACATTAATCGGACTATGCCGAGGAATTCGAGATTCCTATTGTGGTTCTGCAAGAAGTTTCACACTTCGTCAGAGACAAAGTATGTAGGAGGGATTAAGGATACTGGGCACCGATGAGACTACACAATGAGAAGCCCGAAATATTTGTGTATCGACCCTACACAAGTCTAAAAGAATGAATGAGGAGCAGCTAGTTATCTAGTCCACTGGACACCCAGCCAAAAGGCTGAGAGGAAGGGCAGCATCTAAGCTTTGCAATGTTACATGATTAGTGGAAGACGATTATGGTAAAACTTATCTGTTCTCCAGCTATGCCGTAGCAAGTTCTTTCTTCAAGATGTGTGGGAAAAACCAGCGTGAGAACTATCAACCCATAAGCCTAACTAGCATGGTTGTGAAAACTTTAGAAAGGATTATTTTTGAGAAGCTGATTGAATACCTGAACGAAAATAAGATTCTTTCTGAGAAGCAGCATGATTTTAGAAAGTAAATTCATGTCATAAACTTATAAGTAGCCCTTTAAAATGTATGTGCACTTAAAGACCAAAGCTACTCATAGATGCAGCCCTCACTAAATTAAATAAGGCTTTTGACAAGGCACTGAAAACCGGCTGTTACCTGGGTCAAGTGAAAGTGGGACTGGACCGTGCTCAGAGGAGTACCTCAGGGTACAGTCTTGAGGGAATTGATACTCATCTTGTATGTAAATGACCTTAGTATTCTATGATCATCCGTTTTGTCATATGTCAGTGATATCGAGATATGGCGGGGGATAAGGAATGAAGGAGGTAGTTTAGAGCTTCAAAGCAACCCGCAGAATTCATCTGAATTGTTTAGATTTTTGAAGCTATCAATGAGGCACAATGGTGACCACGGTACAGATATATGTTTAGTGCTGATCGAGTGAAGATTGAGTATGGTCACCACTAAATGCTAATTACGAACCTATCACTGAGAAGAGAAATAAATCCATGTTGATTTCGTTGTGTCGAAAGAACATCGAAATTGAGCCAGGAAATTAAAGAGAATCTACAGAGCTGGTACAGCGAAAAATGGCAGCAACACATACAGAAAGTTTGCGCGTAAAAATTGTTATAAACAAAAATTACAGTTAAATAATCACTGGTACAATATGTTACAATAATAAATGTTTCCATTTCACTGATCGGATTCTCTTCAAAAAAGTATTCCACTAAATATGTGTAGTCAAAGGTGTTACAGATACTCAGGGTTTGATAGCATTTTGTCCGCAACAGCTTTATAATCGAGAATACTGAGGCTCATCCAGAAGAAGGAAAGAGATCGAAAGTAAACTTGAAGGATGATTGAGATGTTGAGAAGTGGGTGATCTAATGTGACTGAATGTTGTGAGGCGTACCTTTAAGTGACCTGGAGCGGACTACTGGCTGAGCACCTTCACTTAAGGTGTGTCCAATAAATATAATGAGATCAGCATCAAACACTCACAGAACTATTTATTTTGAGGGTTTAGACTGTAAATCATACTGAGATAGCAATTATCCAGAAACATAGTGAACTAGGAGTCCTCGTGAGCTAGAATCAGAAAACTACAACACGCTGTCGTGCAATAGCTTTGAATGGTTTCAAAACCTTTTGACGGATATTTCTAGATTTTATTCGCGTCAGCGCTAAGACATTTTTAATTCTGTATACAATGTTCGTCTTAAACTCAAGTACAGCATGAAGCAGCCAGCTCCTTTCTAAAGAACAGTGAGATTTTGGGAGGTTGAGAAAAGTGCAAATAATCCGATAACGTGAATCTCAAAGCTGCCGTATGACAAGAGAGTGGCTCGACTAGACCTCTTTCCATTATCGTACTGAAGGATTAAAGTTGATATGATAACAGTAGCTGTATGTAATGGCTAGATCTGACATATCCTCATTTTCCATATCTTCCAAAGTTTCTTCATAAAAACGTAGCCTTCTTGTCAATAGTTACTGCAAAGTTTACCAAGGGCCTGCTGGTTCACTACCTCCAGTGACTTAGACTGAAAGTGAACATGTTGAACACTTCCAAACAAGTAGCGCTTTTTATTATTGCGTCGCTACTTAACTATGTAAATAAGTTCAACTTCGTTTCCTAATTTATCATGGATTCTCAATGGGAAGGTTGGTTAAACATTGTGTTATGAAGAATTCTATAGCAATCTTCAACTATTCAGGTTCTATTCCTGATCATCCTTATCTTCCCAGTATTTCCAAACCTGTTTATATATTGGGATGTAAATATGATTCTATAGATGGTAAGTGTTAATGTACTGATCATTATTTCCTGTTGTTATTTAACTCGCATCTTTGTCTTTGGTACAGTTGATTGTGAGATTCACAAATATAACGAATTGAACCTGAGTTTGATTTAGAACACATGAAAACATTAATATGTTACCCAGTGTAAACCTTCACATCAAATGCTTGTTCACTATACATATAAGTCCAGAAAAGTGTTCAATTTTTCAGTCTCCAAAATTGAGTCGATGGGTTTTGTGCTGGATGACTCAGTAAATATTGATTTCTCAACTTTGATAGTTCATTTGAGCAGTTGTTCTCAGTCAGTATTCATATTTTTGGTTGGTATGTACCTTTTAAGTTTCTTTTTTTGGTTTGATCTAAAGTTTCAGAGACTAATCTTTGCTTGTTAGTATGAATCAAGACTCTGAGATCATTTAAGCCTTCCAGCCCAAGTTTATTAAGTTTCTCAAAAGCCTAACGTGTCTCGGTTGGACTTCCCATAGTTTTCCGTAACCCCTCAACAACTTACCAGCGTCACTCGTTTAAGTAAGCGATGAGTTGGGATACGTAACATTCCCAAACCACCTCATTTGAAAATTTACAATATTATAAACCGATCTATCATCTTTAACTGGTACATTCCTCTTACCTCGGCATAGCCCAGTCAATAGTCCTGAAATTCCCAAGCAATAATTCCAAGACATCCACTCTTCACAGTCGTGTTTATTATGTATGGAGCAGTCATTTTTCCTAAAGAATAATTCATTATTTTACACTTATCTAGTTTCCACTGCAAGTATTTGTAATTCTTTCATATTTACATACAAATAAGACATCTGGAACATATGTTCCTGTAGGTCCTACCATGCCAGGCAGGTCGATTGGAAAACGATGAGACTAAAAGCAGCTACCCAAGGTCTGAGGGCGAAGTCGTACTGCTGACTGCAGAGGGGTGTGACAGAAGTAAGGTGTTTCCCTCGGACAACCAGCATCTGCAGCGATGCTGCCTTCTCACAAGGAAGGAATGGTTAGAAAAGGTCGGCCCTAAAAATGTCACACCTCACCTTACCTCACGGATTTCCATCTCCGTCGGTAAGGGTGTTCACTAAGGGCCTTCAAGAGCGGAGCTAATCCTCAAAAAGCCTTTCATCAAAAGGCCGTGCGTGACCGGCCTCGAGCAGTTGTCCCTTGGACTCTGCGGTCACGCACCCAGGTCACCGAGACCAACACTAATCTATCTTCCTTTTCAGGTTCCTCAAGAACCAACCTTCCACGGTGTGGGCAGCCGGGAAGTGATAACCGCCCTCATACCCGTAACAGCACACGAGACCAAATTGGTCAAAATCAAATCCTTCCTACACCTGCTGTTGGATTTGAATGGACAATTACATCTCTGTGCTGATGTGGTATGGCGACATGAACTGATGTACTTACGTACGAAGTTCTACGTTGCATCTGACTGACTGACAAATAAGACATCACACGCACATTTCAAACCGAAAAATTGTTAGTAGTCTCCTCTTAAGTCTAGCTATCAATGATGTGATTGGTATCGGTAACCACTCAAAATACTTCGGTTTATTCTTGAAATTAATGTAAATTGTATATAGTTGACTGTTCAAATGATCTAAAGATCGATGACATCTCAACTCTTAGAAATATTTCAACCTGCGCCACCTTTAGTACTTCAACTAATAATTAAGTAGCAGCATTTTAAATTCCATTGTTAATCTCGTATAATATAGAGCTTACCATGTATTCTTTGTCGTATCTTCTATCTTTAACACATAAACTTGATAGATTCTAGCTGTGAGCATCATGTGACTGTTTTTTCTTGGGTGAATTATTAGTCTTTTGATTTGTATGTTTTTAAACCCAAACATTCTGGTCTAATGTTACGGAGCGTTCACTCTGGAGTACTACATTGTAATCACTTAGAACCTCAGTTGTGTAACTTAACCACTCAATTTTTAATAATTATGTTGCATTTGTGCTTCAGTTTAATTTATTACTAAAACAGATTTTGTATTCAGTTGTAGCATTCAAAATTTCGATTATCCAATAAGTTCACTTTTACAGGACAGAATCTTCACGATAAAAGAGTTACTGTGTGAGTTAGAAAATAGAATTAAGCACAAAAAGAAATGAAATCCAATCGAAATGCAGATAAAAACGAAACAAAAACACATGGGCTATTTTTATAACATTTATCTTCATAGTTTGTACTGAAGCGGAGAAAGTGAATAAATCTCTTCCTAATCATCCATTGTTATATTTTCAAGTGGGGTGAAATACTACCCGGGTGGCAAGATTAAAGCAGATAATTTCCTAAGGAGGCTAATCCCCGAGCCTTTGATTTAGCAGTCTAATCCATGAGGCAGTCAGGATATATAGTCCCATAATTAACCACCGGCGAAAGACAGGTTCGTATTCTATCAATCCTTAAGTTCATGTGCACCATTGATTTGTAATCAGGGTTTTCCAGATCTCCTAGGTAGATCCTTCGTATTTCTCAACTCAGTTAAAGGTATAGATGTTTGGCTTTTATCCTCTCTTCTGTAAATATCAGCCCCGTCACGAGAAACCAAAGAGTAGGACTTCCTTGTTCACGTCTTTAAACACACATCCATATGAGAGCATTCCGAGAGAGGTGGCTGTGCTATTGATGGTCCTGTTGTAGTTTTCTTTTACATTCCTCAGGAAAGTAAGCGAAGCTTCTTGAACTTGTTATTTTTTAAAGAAACTCATCTCTCCTATTATAATGTATTCTCCACTTTTTTCTATATGCTTTTTTACTTGATTACACTCCTCCTTCCATTTCTTTACAATCTCATTATTATCTGTTTTGGCACCCATTCGTACCAATGTTTATGTTTAAATCAATAACAAATACATGCATTTGGTAGGACTAAATCTTGGCCACCGTACCAACTATAAAAAATCATTTACAAAGTTAGTGAATATATTATTTGACTACATAGTTTTCTTTTTCATGATAAGTCATTTTCCTATGCTCTGTTTAATTTTTTGTTACAGATAGGGAGGAAATTGCTAATCACTTGAAGTCTCGATTATGGATGACATACCGAAAGGGTTTTTCACCAATCGGTAATCGGAATGGTCCTAAATCCGATGCTGGATGGGGCTGTATGCATCGCTGTGGACAAATGATTCTTGCTGAAGCCATGTTAAGAGTTCATCTTGGACGATGTCAGTCAATATATATATATATATATATATATATATATATATATATATATATATATATATATATATATATATATATAGGTTTTTTACCAAATTCACTTTGCATTTTATCACAGCTAAATGAATTAGGCTAAAATTGTCAGTCAGTCAGTTACAATGTAGAACTTCGTACATAAGTACATCAGTTCATGTTGCCATACCACATTAGCACAGAGACGCAATTGTCAATTCAAATCCCATAGTGGTAGACATAGTCGAAGAGTTACTGCTAATGGAGAAGATTAGGATTTGAAGATAATATCCAAGAAGTATAATTCAGTGACATAAGTCTAGAAAGACTAAAGTAGAGGTGTTGAAGAACCCAGAAGATTAGGATTTGAGCGAACACAAAGAGTGGATGCACCTGCACCATTGCAAATGACTTTAAGCCATGTCATTCAAGGTCTCTAACCATCGGTTACTATCGTCTCGCGGACCCCAACCAGGTAGCCTACATTGACCGACATGACTCAGTCCACTTGTCAGTGACTTCATGGATTTGTACCATATTATATTTTCGCCATCCCTAGCTTCCTTCCAACCTACGAAACGGCCGTCCAGTGTTTCGAGGTTTCTAATGGTGGTCCAACAATGATTGATTAATGATTTCAAATGTGTAAAAACATTAATCTCCATAACTCTGGAAGAAGTTAGGGCGCCAGACCAAAACATGGCAGAAATCCATGAAGTCACTGACAAGTGGACTGAGTCATGTTGGTAGAGTAGACTACCTGGTTGGGTCCGCGAGAAAAAAGTCACCATGGTTAGTTAGAGACTTGAATGACATGGCTTAGAATCGTTTGCAATGGTGCAAGTGCATCCACTCTTTGTGTTCTATGAAATTCTAACCTCTGAATCCTCATAATCTCTATCTTTCTCCTTACAAATTTATCTCACTGAAATTATACTTTTGAATCATATCTTCGCTCCATAATCTTCCCATTTGCTGCTAATAATTCTACTATCTCTATCACTCTTGGATTTGAATTAACAGTTACGTCTCTGTACTGACGTCGTATGACAATCTGAACTGATGTACTTATGTACGAAGTTCTGTGTTGTATCTGTCTGTCTGGTATTTGTTCAAGTTAAATACCATTCTTCGTTTCTATCTCATTTCATTATGGATTTTTTCCTAGAAATCCCACTTTTCAAGGGTTGATCTCCTACCGAGAGGTTCATTTCTTGACTTATAAGATAAAAAAGACATAGTCCTACTTGGTGAAGATTTACGAAATCCTGTCTTATTTATCTTGAGCGATAATGAAAGTATGTTTGCAGTTTGTTTATCTTCCTCTAAATGTCAATGTTACTTCACGGCTGATCTACATAATTGTCTATATAGATCATTTCTGTATGAATATAGAGAGCTCCTTGGGCTTTTGTAAAATTAAATTACCTTCTGCGTATGCAGAAGGTTTTTCTGCTTAAATTAGAGCATATTACGTGGTAATCTACTCTGTGGTTGTAAAACATCGCCCATGAAGGTAAAAACATGTGTTACTGACAGAATTTTGAGCATAGAACAGCAGCCGTTAGTCATGAAACAACCAAGTGAACAATATTGTAGTTGAGGCTACGAAACCAGACAAATATGGGGAATTGATTTTTAAGGTTATTAATTTTCATTTAATGAGATGGTTAGGAAATTTGTTACGTATCCCCAACAATCCCTTATGCCGATGGTACTTGTTAGCTGGTGTGAAAGTCAGAAAAGAACTAAGAGTAGCTAAACCGAGATATCTTAATGACATTTACTTGATAATTACAAATAAAAACTTTGTTGCTTTTAGGTGCTAAAAACCGTACTTTAGACTATTGACATTTCCCGACTTAATTTAAGTTGCTTCTTCAGCGTAAATAAATAACTGACATTAAATTAAAGTTTTAAAGTTGAATTTGAATATTGCAAATATGTCGTTATTACTACCCAACACTTAATTTATTTGAAATTATCAACTCAATCTTTAATCATGATGATCCGTACTTACTATTTGGACTAACATTGATCGATTCATGGTTTCAAAAAATGTGTAACAATCTTCACAACCCCGTAATGCAAATTACCTGTGCTCACTAGTGACTAGCTTCGTGAGGAATCTTCTCCGAGTTCTAGTTGAGAAGACGTGACCAGTGAAGTTCAACCTGTTCGGGTGTAGGCAGTATCTACCAAAGACTGTGTATGAGGTTGCGCAACTCCGTGAATTTGATCAAGTTAGATATTAACACCGTTAGATACAGGCTCAGTGGTCTAACGGCTAGGGTGTTCGCGCACAATACCGAAGGTCCTGAGTTCGAACCCTGCGGGGTGCAGGAGTCGTGGATGCGCACTGCTGAGGAGTCCCATACCAGGACGAAACGGCCGTCCAGTGCTTCCAGGTTTCTAATGGTGGTCTAACATTGATCGATTCATGGTTTCAAAAAATGTGTATTTGGACAATGTTTGTTCAATCTTTAAAAGATAATTACTTAAAATGTAAAACAAACTGCTCTTTATGATAAATAGCTGACATAATTATCATTTATCTGTTTTGTTTTTCGTTCACTTTCTTATTAGCCTTAACAGGTGTATCAGTCGGTAAACCGATTGGAAGTTGGTTTGGTCCGAATACTGTTGCACAAGTACTCAAGTAAGTGCATACATATCTTGTGTTTTTTGAATGGATCAATGTGAGATGTATACAAACAAAAGGAAGTTTTACTCTATGACCGACCAAAAAACACTAGGAAACATTGGTCATCTATTTCATATTAGTGTAGAACTCTTCAACAGGAACGATGCATCAACATCTTCACTAAGCTATTCAAAATTCAAACTGCCAGAACAGGCAATGATTATGTTAATTCTTTAAGTCATTGAGTTAACATTCAAGAAGAAGTCATAGTCTTTTGCTGACTAGTAATTAACTTAAGCTTTTATTAAATGACTTGCTAATGAAGTTCGACTGTTCCAGTGACCCAGCTGAGTTATACAAACACCTAGTCCGTGCTACCTACGTCAGATAACTTACCCATGTTACTCCTCATGTAACAAAGGCCACTGGTCAGCAATTTCGAACCTACTCTGTCCTAGGCTCTCCTTATTATTATTATTTCCCAAGTGTGATTCATTCTTTTTATGCCTATATCCAACTCCCAGCGCAATATGTTCTTTGGTCTTCCTTTATTCCTTTTTCCTTGAAGATTCCAAGTTGGGGTTGCCTCGAGATGCAATCTGGTAATTTCCACCATGTGTTTCCTATCCACCTTCAGCGTGTTTTCCTAATTTCTTCCTCAATTAAAAGTTCGTTTGTTCTCTGCCAGAATAGGTTGTTGCTCATGGTGTCTGACCAATATACATAAGAAGGTCTTTTAGTGCTACATCGATTACTGGTGGATTCAGTGTAGCTAGTCTATTAAGAGTTCTATCCACCTGTCCCGCTGTTCCTGAATCTTTGATTCATTTTGTCCCTTGTTCTCAACTGGTCGTTCTGATTTACCATGTTTTCCTGCTGGCTGCTTCGTTGTATCATGAAGTTGTCTCATATTACCTCCCCTTACAGCCTTTTCCGTTGTTACCGTTAGGGCTTCTATATAGTTTCTTTTACCAGTTCTAATGCTCCTCTTCATTTACACTTGTTTGCTTCTGTGTATTCGACCTGTACCTCGACTTTCTCTACTCTTCTTCTGCAGTTGTTGATTGCTTTCTTCCTTATCTTCATTTTTTGAATCTTGTTCAGAGTATCAGCAGAGATCCACTCCTTTTGATGGTGCTTTTCATGACCCAAAGCCTCATGAAATGTTCAAGTTACTGCTTCTTCAATCTTTTTTTCAGTTGTTCTCTATGGTAGTTTCTTCTTCTTTGGGTAGATCTCGTAAGGCTCGGAACTTATTGTTGAGAGAGCTATCTCGAATGTGCTGAGGTTGTTAGTACACCGAAAGAAGGCTGTATTAAACTCTAGTGATGCTGTTTCTCCAGTTGTCCAGTTCTTCTTTAACTTCAGTTTAGTGTTGGTCATCACTAGGTGGTAGTATGAAGCTATATAATTTCCCCTCTTTGTTCTCACATCGTCCATGGACCTTCTGAACTTTTTAATGACGCAAATGGGATCGATTTGGTTCTATCTAGTGTAGTCCAGTGGAACATAGATAGCTTTTTGTATGCTTTTATAAGAGGGTATGGTGCCTCCCCCTAACCAGTTTATCGAAAGCATGAAGATTTTCAAATCTTTCACCGTTTCCGTTCCTTTCTATCAGTACATGTCATCCCGTGATTTCTTCGTATCTGGTGTTGTTCATTCCAACCTTGGCGTTCAAGTTTCCATTCAAAATGGTCAGTTCCTTGTCTGGGAATTCCTTTACGATTAACTACAATCTCTCGTCCAACTGATCTTTATTCTTTGTAATGCCCCCCTTGTTTTTTTTGAAGGAGACTTGGATGATCCTCGATCGATGATATCCACATCCAACAAGTGCTTTTTGTGCTTCGTTGAATGGTATCAATGCAACCTCTTTTGCATTTTCTTCTTTATGACTATAGCACAAAAGCATCTACCGGACTTGTAAAAAACTTGTGAAGAAACTCAGCTTTCATCATGAAGCATCACAACTCTACTAAGTGAAAACCATTCAATTCGCGTGGTAAAGTTTAGATGCTGTGTTACGGTTAGCATTTTTTAGCAAGGTTGTTCTCTACAGTATGGAATTACCAACCTTATTCCTAACCCTCCTCTTTTACCCGGGGATTGTGACCGGTAGTAATTCTAAAACAGTTCTATTCAGCAAATTCAATATTTGTATATATGTGTTATTAAAATTTGTTCACTTTCCTTTTTCGCTTTTCTTCTAGAAAACTATCTGTTTATGACCGTTGGACAAATTTATTCATTCATATTTCTGTAGAAGATGGAATTATTATTGATGAAATTAGTAAGTTGTGTTTTTTGTGCCGATTTTCTTGAATTGTGTGTACTTACTTACTCACGCTTGTCACTCCCAATGAAGCATAGGCCACCGACCAGTATTCTCCAAACGACTCTATCCTGGGCTTCCCTTTCCAGTTCTGTCCAATTTTTGTTCATTCTTCTCATATTTTTCTCTGATTCTCAGCGTAATGTGTTCTTTGATCTTCCTCTTTTCCTTTTACCTTGAGGATTCTAAGTGAGGACTTGTCTTGTGACGCAGTTGGGTACTTTCCGCAGTGTGTCCTATTCGCTTCCACTGCTTCTTCCTGATTTCCCCCTCCACTGGAATCTGGTTTGTTTTCTCCCACAGTGCGTTGTTGCTGATGGTGTCTGGCCAACGAATCCGAAGTATTTTGCGTAGACAACTGTTAAGGAATACTTGTATCGTCTGGATGATGGCTTTCGTGGTTCTCAAAGTTTCCGCTCCATACAGTAGAACTGTCTTGACATTTTTATTAGAAAATCCTGATTTTGGTGTTAGTTGATAGTAGTTTTGAGTTTCCAACGCTGCTCAGTTGTAGCAATGCAGTTCTTGCTTTACCGATCCGCGCCTTGACATCTGCATCGGATCCACCTTGCTCGTCAATGTTGCTGCCTAGATATGTAAAGGATTTTACGGCCTCCGAAACATCTCCATCAAGTCTGATTTGGTTGGAGCATGTCCCGACCGTAGCTGCTACCTTGACGTGGTGGTCGGGCTTGCCTATCGTGATGACCCAACCGTGCTATACTGGCTGAAACATATGTTCCTCAAGGTTCTACCATGCCAGGCAGGTCGATTGGAGAACGATGAGACTAAAAGCATCTACCCAAGGTCTGAGGGCGAAGTCGTACTGCTGACTGCAGAGGGGTGTGACAGCAGTAAGGTGTTTCCCTCGGACAACCAGCATCTGCAGCGATGCTGCCTTCTCACAAGGAAGGAAGGGTTAGAAAAGGTCGACCCTAAAAATGTCACACCTCCCTTCCGTCTCCTTGGGTAAGGGTGTCCACTAAGGGCCTTTAAGAACGGAGCTAATCCTCAAAAAACATTTCATAAAAAGGTCGTGCGTGACCGGCCTCAAGCAGTTGTCCCTTGGGCTCTGCGGTCACGCACCAACACTAATCTATCTTCCTTTTTAGGTTCCTCAAGAAACAACCTTCCACGGTGTGGGCAGCCGGGAAGTGACAACCGCCCTCATACCCATAACAGCGCGCGAGACCAAATTGGTCAAAATCAAATCCTTCTTACACCCTCTAGTACCTCTCTTATCCCCACGACTAACTCTTTTCACATTCATTCATCACAGTGCACAGCTAATGCAGACGATACGAGTTCGCGAAACGTCGTTCCTGGTCTCCTTAAACCTCGCTCTAGACTACATGTTGGAGCATTTAATGTACGGAAATTGTGTCAAATAGGGCAACAGGCTTCCTTAGCTAGGACTTTAGAATCTCGTGCCATCGATGTGTGCTGCGTCTCGGAAACGCGCATACAGGATCCGAGTCGCGTCATACACTTGGCCACACCATATCAAAATAAAGAAGCAGCTCGATTTACTCTTCGTGTATCCGGTAGCCCTGATGCTGCTTCCCGGGGTCTTGCTGGGGTAGGCATAGCATTGAGTCCTAGGGCAGAACAATCTCTCCTTGACTGGATCCCAATAGATAGTCGATTGTGCGCTGTCCGACTAAACGGGACGGTAAGGACTCGGAAAGATAGGGACAATCGCCGTTGCCTCTTCATCGTATCTGCCTATGCCCCCACTGACTGCAGTTCAGACGAGGTTAAAGATGAGTTTTACAGAAAGCTTTCGGACCTCCTCCAAAAAGCTAGGCGCTCTGATATAGTAATAATGGCTAGTGACTTTAATGCTCAAGTAGGTAGACTAAGTGAGCAGGAGAGACACCTAGGTGGATGTTATGGTGTCGCGGGTCAGAGAACAGACAATGGTGACCGTCTGTTGCAAGCATGCTCAGACAACCGCCTATTCTTAGCAAACACTAACTTTAGGCATAAGGAAAAGCATCTGTTGACCTGGCGACCTCCAAAGTCGTTTCAACGTTGGACTCAACTAGATCACATCGCCATCAGCCACCGATGGAGGGGTTCGATAGAGGACTGTCGCTCGTTCTGGAGCACATGTCCAGATTCAGATCATGCCCTAGTGCGAGTGCGTATTTGTTTGAAGCTTACTGGGCGTAGGAAAGACACCGTAAGGAAGCCTCTTAGGGTTTTACTTAATGATAATAAGGCGAAGAATATATTTCAGGAACAACTAGAAAGACAGTTAGGCGACCATTTAAGCGATTCCCATCCGGAAGCAGGATGGAATGATATCAAAAAGGCTGTGGAAACAGCAGTGATATCTGCTAGTGAGGTTGACCATAAGGCTAGAATAAAACCGTGGATCTCAGCAGCATTAACCGATCTGATGGATGCCCGAAAACTCATCCCATCTGGCTCTGAACATGATGAAGAACGAAGTCAACTTAGGCGCAGACTTATAAAAAGCCTACGTAACGATCGCGAACAGTGGTGGGTGGCGAAAGCAAAAGCGGTGGAAAAGGCAGCGGCGATCGGCAACAGTAGACAACTTTTCCGACTTGTCAAGGAAACTGGTATTAGGAATCCTAGTGTAAGTGAGACTATCTCAGAAAATGACGGGACTATTATTTATTCTCAATCCAGGAGACTGGATCGATGGGCAGAACACTTTAGGGATCAGTTCAACTGGCCTCGAGCCACTCTTCAGTTACCCACGATCTCCAGTCATCCTGAATGGCAAATCGACCTAAGTCCTAGTTTTAATGAAGTTGAGAAAGCGTTAGGAAATCTGAGGCGAGGGCAAGCTGCGGGTCCTGATAGACTGACTCCTGAGATGTTTAAGGATGGTGGTCCAGTTTTAGCAGCTAGATTGACTGAGATCTTAGGTAGAGTCTGGGAACTGGACGTAATCCCATCTGACTGGTCTTAATCATTGATTGTCCCAATCTATAAGAAAGGACAGAAGTCTTCTTGTGACAATCACAGGGGAATAAGTCTAATTGATATAGTATCTAAAATATTGGCCTCAATAATACTTCGACACTTAACGAAAGCTCGTCCTACAATAGTTGTTTTCCTGGACCTAAAAGCGGCATTTGACTCTGTAGATCGTGAGGTTCTGTGTCAGTGTCTGTCATTGAAAGGTGTAATAAAGAAGTACATTAACCTTATACAAGCTCTCTACTCGAACACCACTGGTCGAGTGAGAGCCGATGGCGAACTGTCATCGGAATTCTCTACTTCAATTGGTGTCCGTCAGGGATGTGCACTTTCTCCATTCTTGTTTAATTTTATCATAGACATGCTCCTAGAAATAACCTTATCCTCGTCTGAATTTTCTGGAGTAGACCTTCTACCAGGTGGCTCGCTTATTGACTTAGAATATGCCGATGACATAGTCCTACTTGGTGAAGACGCTGACAAAATGCAGAGTCTTCTGACCACTCTAAGCAACAATGCAAGCATGTTTGGGATGCGGTTTTCCCCCTCGAAATGCAAAATGTTGCTTCAAGATTGGGTTGCATCGGCACCTGAACTAGTGATAGGGAGTGAAGTAGTCGAACGTGTAGACCGCTTCACTTATCTTGGGAGTCTGATCAGTGCTGATGGCCTGGTGACTGACGAAATCCAAGCACGGATACAGAAGGCTCGATTGGCTTTTGCCAACCTGCGTCACTTATGGCGTAGGCGAGATATCCGTTTGCTGATTAAATGACGAGTGTACTGCGCAGTAGTTTGCTCCGTCTTACTTTATGGCTGTGAAACATGGCCAGTGAGAGTAGAAGATACTCGTCGGTTATTGGTTTTCGATCATAAGTGTCTCCGAAGCATTGCTCGTATATCGTGGGACACCCGAGTGAGCAACGCTGTTATTAGGAAACGGGTGCTAGGTAAGAATGGCAGATCAATAGATGAAGTAATGAAACTTCATCAGTTGAGTTGGTTGGGACATGTGCTGCGTATGCCTAACCACCGACTGCCTCGACGAATTTTGTTTTGTAGTGTAGGAGTAGGTCTGAAGAAAGTTAGGGGCGGCCAAACCAAAACATTGCATAAATCCATGAAGTCATTGACAAGTGGACTGAGCCATGTCGGTAATTGTCGACTACCTGGTTGGGGTCCGCGTGATGATAATAATCGATGGTAAGAGACCTTGAATGACATGGCTCAAAATCGTTCGCAATGGCGCCAGTGCATTTATTCTTTGTGTTCTCTCAAATCCTAATCTTCTGGATTCTTCAACACCTCTAGTTTTTACTTTCTAAACTTATCTCATTGAATCATACTTCGTGAATAATATCTTCTAATTCTAACCTCTCCGATTACTGCTTGTGCTGAGGCTGCTGCTGCTACACTGGTCGTCTTCTCTTGCATTTGTTGTCGCGTGTGCGATAGAAGAAGAGACAGGCAACAATTGTGTACTATTTTTAATTTTTATAAATATTGTTGATTGTGATTCTCAGCTAGACAATTTATAGTCAATAATGTTAAGGATGTGTTAATGGGTATGTTTAGTTGAAAATGGTCTTTCATATTTTCTTAAACCTACTGAATTCTCCCCGTTTTTTGTGAAGCTTTTATTCTAACTTCAAGATAACATAGTCAACACGAAAAAGTTGTCTGTTATTTGTACAGAAATCCAGATAGATCATTTCTATGTGGAATATCTTTTTACTGAGAATTTTCTCTATTAGTATAATGAAAACTTTATGATTAGACCATTCAACTTTAGGGAATAAAGAAACTTCATCAAAATCATTCATCTGAACTGCGAATTTTCATTATATCAGAATTAGATGGCTGTATTCTTCTATACATAATATTACAATTTCATGACTTGAAAAGATTATGTTAACCTACATGAACTTTTTAACCTATTCACCTGTTTTCATGTTGCATGTCTACTCCCTAAGCAAAGAATTAATATTATTGAGATTAGA